GGCCCGATTTATTTCATTCTTCAGACTTGTTCATGTAGATCACTTCATTAAGGTAGTATCTGCCATCAACCATGTAAAATCATGTTTTCCTTTTGATAATTAGTATATGAAACATTTTAAGCTATGTAAGTAAATATAAGATTCGTGATCAAGCATTTAATTAAGTTAATGTCTACAAACTACAGTTTTATTTTTATTCCATGGCATATAAATTATTATTGGCAATCTGTTTTGCACTCAAATTTTCCCAGAATCAGGCTGCAAAAACACATTCATGCTAGATTTTGTGTCTTTTTTTGACAGATCCCCATAACTCTTGAAGCACCCCCTTGCTCTGGCACAAGATGTTCTAGTCTCATCTTATTCCTTCTGTGCCTGTATCTTGAATCCTCTACTTTTTAGAGGATCTCTTGTTCTTTGCAGTAGAAAATGATACTAAAGTAAGAGTTGGGTGCAGAGAATGTTCATTGCCAGCGGTTGCCATTGTCTGCAGGTCCTTTTGATGAATAGAGGCAGAGAATATCAGGCATTCCATGTAAGTTAGGATACAGCTTAAAATGTCCATCTCCCGTATAACAGTGTCTGGTTCTGGTCCCAGCTCCACTGCTGCTTATCCAGCCATCAACTAATATGTATCCTGGTGGAGGTGGGTAGCAAGATGTGACTCAAGCACTTGGGTCCCTGCCAGTCATATGGGAGACCTGGATTGAGTTTCGGCCTCCTTGGCTGCAGTATGGCCCATTGTGGATATTTGAAGAGTGAACCAGCAGATGGAGGAGCCCTTTATATCTGTCTTTATGCCTGTGTGTCTTTTTCTTTCTGTCTGTTAAATAAAATGAAAATTAACTCACTAATTATAAATAAAACATGACAAAAATATTAACTTTTGAGAAAGATTTCTTATGTAGCATATAAAAAGTCTGCATAATAAAATAAGAAATAAAGAAACTGAGCTGATGTAAATTAAATTTTCCTTTTTTAAAAATACACCATAAAAAAACAGGCAGACCACAGACTGGAAGAAAATATTAACATTATGTATGTGGTAAAGGATTTATATATACAGAAGTGCTATATCTCAATTAAAAGAAGCTAGAATACAATAAAAAATGGACAAGAGTCTTTTAAAAGTAGATGTACATGACGAAAATACAAAGGAAATAAATTTACTTCTTTGTTGATATGTGCTATGGAAAATGCCAATTAAAGCATTGGTGAGATCCCTAAACATGAACTAGGATGAATGGAGAGGAGTGGAATAATTTTAATTCTCACGTATTGCTGGTGAAGTTTAAGTCTTTCATGAATTGTGGAATATTTTGACAGTTCTTTGTAAAGCGAAGCATGCATTTACCATTGGGTTCATCCATTCTGCTCTTTAGTGTTTTCCTGAGAGAAATCAAATACTATTTAAAGGCCTGCATAGTATTCTATTAATCATAATTAAAACTGAAATTGCCCATCAACAGATGAATCTGTAAGTGGTGGAAAAGCCATAGAATGGAATATTACCTAGCAATATAAATGAGTAAAGTAATGACCAATAACAATGTGGGTAGATCTCAGAAGCAGACTAACTGAATGCCATAGGTATAAAGTAACAGATATTGTATAATTGCACTCACATGGAATGTCCAGAAGAATGCAAATCAGCAGATCTATGTTAGTACTTGTCCAGAACTAGATGTGGCTTGGTGTATGGGGTCAGAAGGTCATAAGGGAAATAGGTGGTGGGGGGGAGTTGATGAGAAGACACTGAGTGTCATCTGACTATGTCTACCTGTAACATTTTATTTCAAGTTGATTGGTTTATTTTTTCCCCTGTTTGGGAGGCAGTCTCTCTCTCTCTCTCTCTCTCTCTCTCTCTCTCTCTCTCTCTCTCTTTCTCTCTTTTCCTCTTTCCCTCCCTTCCTCCCTCCCTCCCTCATGGCAGGGTAGGTGAGTGGGGCTGGGTGGGGCTCAAAGCTGGGAGCTTGGAACTCAATCCAGGCCTCCTATATGGGAATCATTATTTACTGCTTCCCAGGATCTGTATTCACATAAAGTTCACACTGGGAGCCTGAACCAAGACTTTAACTCAGGTGTTCCAATGGGAAATATAGGTATCCTTAGCACTAGGTTACAAACCTTCCAGTGATAATATTCTCAGTTTGAGGCATTCTGGCAAGAGCGTAAGAACAGGGTGTTTGGCCCTCAGTGCTCGTGGAGCCCTTCCAGATGGCTACCTTTATGGGAGACCGAGGAGTTACATGTTCACACTGTGTTATGGATGTGGACACAAACAGGCAGTGGAAGGTTGAATGGATGTACACCAGGGTCCAAGGCTTGATAACCACAATCAGCTTTTTAAAAAATCACTGTATCCATTAGCTACAGTCTCTCTCTTGGACTCTGTCTTTATGTTTTAGAATGACTGCATCTTTGGGGCGACTTTCAATGATTCCTAATCGGTTCCTAACTTAGGTTGAGTTCTGTAAAAAGCACACCCTGAGGCAAAATTTAATTGGAGCTACTTTATTGGAGTGTGAAATTCCAGTGAAAATAGGAGTGGAAAGGGGGGACTGAGTCATGGAAAGGCAGCAGAAAAGAGGCTTGCTTCTGGGCAGATCATGTCGAGTGTGAAATATGACTGATGGATCCAAATGACCAGAGTCACTGAGAGGTCAAGAATGCAGTAAGGCAGGGCACTGCTTAGGAAGCAAGAAAGGGAGAATATTTTAACCATGGAATCCCATCTTCTGCTCTTTCCACAAAGGCCTGCTCTCCCCCACCCCCACGGGTTATAAACTTGCCTGGAATTTCAGTTGACACATATGCAAGAACTAGCAGGTGCTCTGACATTTCAGGTCTCATTAGTTGAAAAGCTGGAAAGTGGGAGATGAATAATATGGACATGAGGTGAATGGTGCAGGTTGTTTCATCATGAAGTGGAGCTGGGCTCTTGCAGAATTGAACATTGAGGCAGCGGCTGGGTGCGGATGGGAGGGAGAGATGAATAAAGCTGAGAGCCTCAGAGACAGAGAAGCCAAGGGTGGTGCACAGCTGTGTAACAGTAGTGTTTGGAGTGTGATTTTATAAGTCTCAGACAAAACAGTAGGGAGGGGGCAGACAATTCTTTCTGTATTCTTGGACTTATAATATGCCTTTGTCATTGTTTACTCTTTAAAGCCATGATTCCCAGTGAACAACTTCTGTTAGAATTGAATATAAATAGGGGTAGACCAACTCATGGTAAGTGTGTGTGTGTGTGTGTGTGTGTGTGTGTGAGAGAGAGAGAGAGAGAGAGAATACAGACATCATCTTCCAGATGTTTCCATTGCAGATTTACAGAATACTAAGTAGTTGTGAATAGACTTTTCCACAAAACAATTAGGGAGCTATATATATCTCTGAACTTTTCAGGTACTGCAGTCACATTTTCTGTTCCAAAAATAAAGTTGCTGATTTTTAGAAAAGGCAAAGATATTTAAAATTAATGCACAGAAACATGCCAACTTGAGAATAAAGGTCTAGATTTAGATATTTACCTGTATAAACTCCATGAAAGATAAGAAAAGCTTTACAGGAAAAAAGAGTCAATATATGGAAACGGCGATCTATTATTAACCATTCATCAAGTCCTGGAATGGTCTGAAGAGGTCTACAGCGCAGGAAAGTGAGCTTGATTTGTGGGCTTTGATGGTTGGCCACAGTGGAACGGCATAAACATCTTCAATATTGAAGTCTGAGGTGCAGGGAAACTTTGTTGAGAATAATTCACTCGGGTATACCACTTGTGGCCAGAGATGAGCACGTGTTCCGGAGGCTGGCAGTGGTGAAGGACAGGATGGAGCCTGGTGCACCCGGCGTCTTTCTGGGCTAATAAGCCCGTGGTCTTGTAATGAGAATCACGAATGGAAGTCTGTGGCAGGGAAAAGCAGGATCCTTGCTTTACGTTAAGAACCACGGACAGCTCCCATCTGCAAAGGAAGATTCACCTTTTCCTACACGTTGGAATGGCAGCTCTAGGGTCTCCCAGTCTCGACTAGGGATTGCAGCTGGCCAATAATAAAATGTGCCTATTCAGGCCTCCCCTCGGCAGTCATTAGCATCGTAATTGTACTCGCAGGAAGGTTTCAGCCTCTTCCACGGAATGGGCAATGGCGCGAGTGAGAGGAACACCGATTTTTTTTTGACAGGGCCATAATTTATAAATAAATAACCAGATCGCCATGCGAGGGGCTGGAGGATGGCTTAGGAGGGAAAGCCCGTGGGTGGGGGTAGGGGCGGGAATCCCCGAGTCCCTGACGGAGCAGGAGAACGGATCCCACTTAGGTTATACGCCAGGAACGGCGCCATGTGCTCCTGGCTCCTTGCTTTGCTGCTGCCGACCTGGCTCCACTGGACCCTGGCAACCCGAGGCCCCGAGCCCCGCAGGTGAGGCGGGGGCTTGTCCCCCCACCCCCCGGTTCTATAGTCTCTCTTGCGAATGTGGTGGCGCGCATCCCCACGGAAAAGAGGCACTGTAGTGAACCCACCGACTCTCAGCCTGCGCCGCAGCTGGGCGGGGGTCGAGGGAAGGGTGTCGAATCGAGTTGGGGGTTGGGGGTAGCAGCGGGTGACGCTCCCATCTTCGCAGCTGCGGGCGCTGCCAGTACCCCTCGCCAGGCCACAGGCAGCCAGGGCCTGCCCCCACGCCGAGCAGCCGAGCTTTCTCCCGCAGGGTTCCTGCAAGGCCGGCCCCTGCACACCACGGCCCGCGCACCCCACGGTCCCCCGCGCTCGAGTCCTGTGTGGCGGCCCCTTTAGCTGCAGAGAGCGCCCAGGGCCGGGGCCGCGCGGCCCTGGCGTGCGCAGGGTTGGCGAGGGTGCGTGGCGCGGCCGGCTCCGCCCCCAGCTGCCCGGCCCGTTCCCCTCCCCCGGCTCCTGCGCCCGCGGCTCCTCCTCTCCCCGCGCCCGCTCCTCCTCCTCCTCCTCTTCGCCTCCCCCTCCCCCTCCGCCCTCCTCCGCTCGGGGCCAGCGCGGCGGCGGCGGCGGCAGCAGCAGGAGCAGCCCCGGCTGCGGGTCGCGACGGCGGCGGGGCTCCCCCTCCCCCGTGCCGGGGCGCGGCGGAGGGATGTGGGGCTTTGCAGGAGGAAGGCTTTTCGGCTTCTTCTCGGCCCCGGTGCTGGTGGCAGTGGTGTGCTGCGCCCAGAGGTAGGGGCGCGGGTGGGTGGACGGGAAGCGGGCCGGGCGGCGGGCAGGGCGCACGGGGTGCGCGCCGGGAGCTGGCAGGTGAGCGGCAGTCCGACCCTGTTCTCCAAACCCCCTACCCCATTCCCGTAGCGTGAACGATCCCGGAAACATGTCCTTTGTGAAGGAGACGGTGGACAAGCTGTTGAAAGGCTACGACATCCGCCTGAGACCCGACTTCGGGGGTAAGTGGGATGCGCGCGGCCGCTGCGGGAAGCTCGACCCGCGGCGCTGGCGGCCGGGGTGGAGGAGGGAGGCAGGGGCTGCCTCCGCTGAGCTGCAGCGGGGTGTGTGTGTGTGGGGGGGTGATGGTTCTCCACCTGCGCCCCCTCCCGGGCCACCCCTGGTCTTTAGGGCTACCCTCACCCCATGCCGGATCCTTGCTGATCCCTGTGTGGTGCGCTTCCCGCAGGTCCCCCGGTCTGTGTGGGGATGAACATCGACATCGCCAGCATCGACATGGTTTCCGAAGTCAACATGGTGAGTGCCCGCCCTCCCTGGGGCTGTCCCCAAGCCCCTACCCGGTTGTCTGGGCCCACAAGCGTCCACAGTACTGGGCCGAAGGCCTCCTTGGCCGGGCCAGGCTTCCCCGGCACGCAGAGGGGGCTGTGCTCTCTTGAGCGCCGGCCTCTGCTACTCTTTCCATCGGGCTGAGTGCTCCTGGGGCGTCTTAGGCGTCCGGGCTGAGCCAAGGGCGCTCCCTTCCTGCCAGAGGGGTCCTGGGCTGGCCTAGCGCCCGGTTGTCAGTGCCTTCCTTACTCTCCCGGACTCCTGCAGCCCCTTCCGCCCGGTGCCTAGGCTTGCCCAAAGCGCCTGCTCGCCTCTGTAGCAACAGGCGCTGGGGAAGCGGGATGAGAGCGAGATGTGGGGGCGGCTGCTATGTTCTAGGTAAGAGGTACTTCAGGTTTCCTTTGTTGTTTGCTGTGGAGGAGAGCCAGGGGCTGTGGTCTGTGTACTCTACGGGTGTCCGGCGACATTTTCTTGGGTCCCATGGCTTTACCTTAGGCCTTCTCCCGGACGCTGAGCGCCGGAAGCCCGCTACGTCGGTTGCTGTCCGAGGTGCTGACGGCCCCTGCTGGGGGGCCCTCCTACCTTGGAGGCCCCGCGCTGCAGACAGCTGTCAGACCAGAGGAAGGAAAGCTCTTGGTGAGCTAAGTGTCGCTCAAGGGCTCCTGCAAGTGTTGACAGGAGTGGGGTTCTGGTCCGTGGAAAGCAGTGTTCAGTGTCTGGAGGTGCGGAGAGGATGGCGCTGGCTTTTGCACGGGATGCTTCAGGGCGTCAGGAAGTAATGAGAAATATGACCGCTTTCACTTGTTAATTGAGCTGAAATACCCTGAGATTTGGGAAACAGGATTGATTTTCTACTAAGAATGATCTGATCAAACAATATTGGTTGTAAGAGATTATTTGGCAACTCTTCTTTTTCCTCTGGAAAAAGAACACAGAGGCTATAACATGGCGTGTTTTTGGATCAACCCAAAAGGTGTCTCAATTCTTGTCTCTCAGAATCATGTGAACAGACTTGTTTCAAATGTATACTTACCAGGTTCTTTATTCCAAAGGGTTCTGATTGAGCCTAACCAGAGCAGGGTCTTGGGGTCTCAGTGTTGAGAATTGGTGGTTCAAGTTGCTTGAAGTTGGCAACTTGAAGACGGTATTCTGGGACTCATTGGAGTAAGTTAGAGACAGGGGACCAATATACAAAAAAGAAGTGATTCAAAATATGTTTTGGTGAGATCTACTTTAGTCTATATTACTGGGGATTTTCTTTTTTGATCACACTAAACTATTTTCATCCTTTTTTCTCCCTTTAATCTATAAAGATTTTGAAATTGCAACCTGCGATTAAAAAGTTGTACCTTTGTTTCCAAGTACGCTACCTGGAATATTTGTGGCGTATTAAGAGATTATTATAATACGAGTATTAGCAAGAAAACCGGAAGAAAATGGGACTTTGAATAACTTACACTAAAAAGTTGACTATGTTTGCTTTATAACTTACTTTTAATTTTACAGAATAATTACATCCAAAAAATTTTGTTTTGGTATCTAATGGAAACAGTTAATATATTCAGGATCCACTCTGTAGTTTTTGATTTTTCTCCACTGAGACCTTTACATTCTCTGGAAAAGAAAATTTATCATGGAAATTAATAGATTATTTAGTGAATTATTACATCAAAAATGATTGTAATGGGTATCAAGTGGAAGAACACATGTCTTGATGTAGTTCTTGAACAAAATAAAATAAAAATATAACTAGGGAAATGAAGAGAATATTATTGTAGATTGTCTCACATTTAAACTTCATTTTCAAATTGAATTATCATCAGGCTAAACTTAGGCATGTTAAGAAATCCTTATCAGTATTTTCCTCATTCCTTAGTAATTGTTGAGGTCTTCCAGTTTTCTTTGGGCTGTATAATAATCAGACAAATTAAATATTAGACCATTATAGTAACAGTTTTTAAGCGTCTATTGCCAGGGCAGCCAACAAACATGCGTAGTACAGACTTGGTCTACTTGCATGCGTTTTTTCATTCTTGTAGCAATAATTGTTTAGGCTCTCTTAAACACAGATTTATTTCAGCAACAAATTGGAGATTAATAGGATGGGAAAACAAAGACTGTTGGACAGATGTGGTTGACATGTTGTCTTCCTTCCACAAGCTGATTGGTTAACATCATGCCATAGAAAATTTCATTTTTTTCTTAATATACTTATGCATGACAATAGCTACTACAGGGAAACAACAAAAAAATGTGAGTATAAGATTTGAGCAAGCAGCCATGCTGTGTAAAAGCAATGGATTCTCCCTGCGAACTTTCTTAACCACTTTATTGCTTACATTAAATTAAGTGCTGAAAGTTATAAAGGTAATTCAGTAGTGATCTTGCTTTAAGGGTGTTGTGATCGTTAGAGGAGATAAGTCAAATAGTTGTAGAAAAAGTAGGATGTGGTAAGCAAATGACAGGAATATGTAGGAGGGAGAGACAGAAAGGGCAGGAGAAAGATGGGTAGACAATACAATTTTGTTGTGCAAAGCTTGGCAAAAAATGCATTTAAATTGCATGAGAGGAATGAATAGGATTCTGACTGTCACAATGGAAGACACATTCTTGGCAGAAAGTGGCAAGGGTATGGATGGATGGATTAAAAAGGTCAGAGTTTGAGAAGGGAGATGAAATTGCAAATGCAAGACAAGGCCCTGTGCACTTAGGACCTTCTCCACAGTGTTAAGGATCTCAGATACTGTTATTTTTTTATTTATTTATTTTTTTGGAAATCACATTACCATTAACATCATTTTAAGCAGATGCCTATTATTAGTTTTGGGATGTAGTTTAAGATAAATATTTTGGCCAAAATGTAAATTTAGGCAGGAGTGAACATGGTGAGGTGGAAAAAAAAGTGAAACCTGCCAGGAAATTAGGGAGAAATGCTCACATACAGATGGTCACCTCTAAATTTATTTTTACTTCAAGTTTTCAGAGATACACTATTGAGAAAGAATGATCTGTAGGAAAAAAAATTCATCAATGTTTGAAATCATGATGTTGAAAAGTACGTGTATCTGAAGTTGAGGAAGACGCATAGATGTTTGTCCATGTGATTTTGGGTTTTTTTTTTTTTTTTGGAGGGGGATGATTGCAAAGAATAATAACAGGTACCATGGAATAGTACTGCTAATGTGCTTTTCATCTTATGGTGTTAAAACATTGGTGCTATGTATAGATGGTTTCTCTGAAGAATAAATCTGACCTGAAACAAAAGGATAAATTATACTTATAGATATGGATGTCATCGTTTGTTTAGATGGTTTATAGAAGAAATTTTAAGAAGTTATTTTAATATTTGACTATTTAGCATTGATTTTCCATAGCTTTTTAGTCAGGATGGTGAGGATATACTACATTTCTATTTTTTGTAAGTCTTTCAACTTTTCTTGCTATTCTTTTTTGTGGAAGACCTGACTATTGTGGCAAGCCATTTTATGTAACTTTCCTTGTTTCTCTTATCCTCTGTTTTACAATTTCAAATAATTTTTAAGAAGATTTATTTATTTTTATTGGAAAATCAGATTTATAGAGAGAAGGAAAGAAAGGCAGAATGATCTTCCATTTACTGGTTCGCTTCCCAAATGGTTGCAACAGCCAGAGCAGAGCCAATTAAAAGTCAGGGGCCAGAGCTCTCTTCTGGTTTTCCCACACAGGTGCAAGATCCCAAGGCTTTGGGCCGTCCTCTGTGCTTTCCCAGGTCATAAGTAAGGGAACTGGATGGAATTTGGAGAGGTCAGAACTTAAACCAGCATTTGCAGGGGAAGGGTTAGCCAATTGAGCCATTGAGCTGGTCTCTCAAATAAGCTTTTAAAGTTACACTTTGTTACTATAGTAGTTTGTTTTAATGCATATATTTCTTAAAATGAGACTTATAGGTTCAGTACAGATAATTATTATCCGTATTAGTTATAATTTTACTGATTGGTGTTCTTAGTGTGCTCACGTAATAAACACACGTTGAATAGCTGTATGGAGTGATGAATAAATGTAGGAAAATTGTTGAAAACATAGGAAACATAGACAATATTGGAAAATAAATTAATTTGAGAATTTTAATTTAAAGCAATAAAGTGGGAGCTTTTATATTTTTATTTATAAGATTCAGCCATTATTTGATTTAATAATTCAGAAAAGATTTAATTTGTCATGTTTTTAACCTATATTTAACTATAGTATATGGGAGATATGAAACTAGGTTCTAAGTGTAGTTATATTAGTACTGATTTCTGTGGTATAAGCTCCTCATTGTTATTAAGTTATTGTTAATTATTCCACTAAGATTAGCACAACCCTATTGAAAAGAGAACTTCACAAATTTTTTTGTGATTTCTTGCATATAAATCATGATTTGGGCTTTTTTAAAACTCATGTCATTTTTAGGTAGTCTGTAGTGAGTATCAAATATTTATGAGGTGTGTTCTTCCATATGCTAGTTCTGTTGTTTTTATTTAGCCACAGTTGGGTTTTATTCTCGTAATTCAGTGTAAAATGACGTGCGACATAAGAACATAGTGTTAGCACATTTCAAGAATAGTTGTCACTATTCAGTGGGTACAGTCTCACTTATGAACAAATCCTGCACAGACACATTCTGTATTTTTGTGTTATCCCTTTTTATATCTTTCTCCTTTTCAGAAGAGAAGGAAAGAGGAAAAGAAAACATACATGGCTAGGATTTTGTCTGGAATGGATGCTCGGAAAATTCTACCTTTGGGTCTTTTCTGACCAAACTTAACTTCAGCAACCCTCTCTGTCCGCATTTTTAAGTTTAGAAGTTGCTTTGCCATTGGTGATCCCTGAAAGAATGGTCGGTGTTTCTGAAACCTGGGTTGGTACTCAGCCAGGAGGAGCTGAATTGCAACAGTCCAGGTAGTGAGCTTGAAAAGAGACTGATAGGATGGGGTGCCATGGATTGTAAT